GTGCGTGAAGGTGTTCTTCTTTTGTTTAATTACAATAAATTCAAACCTTCTTTTTATATTTCTAGGCCCATTTGTATTTGAGGCAGATCACAAACTGAAAGCATGGCCTTACTCTGACACAGGCAAACCCTGTGCTTTTAGGAGCCTTTAGGTAGGTGAAGGATGCTGTACATCACTACTGTAATCTCACTTTGTTTATTGAGAGCCAACAGAAGTAGTTCAAAGCTGTTCTCAGCGCTCAATGGCAGTGAGCACTGTGTACGTCTGCTTGGATGTGAGCTTGTGTTACCAGGCGCAGAGTGTGGCAAACTGGAGGATAAATCATCTTGCACCAAAGCCTGGCTCTTGCACAGGTCTCAGTCAGGCTGGGGACCTGTGGTGCTGTCCGTGCAGACACACGCCTTTGAGGGCTCTTCTTGAGCTCCTGTAGTGCTCTGTGCTGCTCTGCTCCCCATGTGTTTGTGATTTTCCTCCCTTAGTTGCCTTTGCTTTGTGTGAACTGGGCTGTTGTATTCCCAGTGATGCGTCTGAAGCGTCTGGAGTGGGGGCTCATGGTCTGTGCTTGCTGCTTACTCAGGTTTTGCCCTTCAGCAAGACACCCAGGATGGGGTTGCCCAGGAACACCAAGGAACTTACCCTGTCCCCTGCTGAAGAGCCCAGCCTCAGGCTGTATGTGCCTGGAACCCCCCGTTATGGAAAATGGGGAGAAAAAGCTACTTCTGAGGCCCTAGCTCTCTCGTGGGAGAGACCCATAGAAAGACATGGACTTTTGTTAGCAGCTTGACCTCTCTGGCACTGTTCTTGCTCTGCAGTGAAGAGGTGCACTCTTTCTTCCACTCGTCTGATTCCTGTGTAACAGAAGGGCTAAATGCTTATTACCTTTCTGTAGCCTTTTCCAGTTGCCAATCAGATGCGTCTGGTTTGGGGTTTGGTTTTGTTTCTTTGTTGCTGTGACCGTGCAGGATGCTCCATCTCACTGTGATTATGGTTCCATCATTGTCGTGGCATGGACGCATCTGCTGTCTCCCTGCGATCTCCACTTCCGTTCCAGCCCCTCTCCAGATTTCTTGTTGGCAAGGTACTTCAAGGCTGCAGTAAGGTCTCCCAGGAGCCTTCTCCAGGCCAAAGAAGCCTGACTCTCAGTCCACGCATATGTCCATGCATACTTGTGCAGCAGTGGAGGGTGCTGGTTCAGCTGAAGAGCATAATGCTTTCAAAGCAACAACCTGCACTTATCCGTGGCTCTCGTCTTTCATGTGCCCTTACCTGATGTCAGTTATTTAACGTATTTCCAGTGTCCAGGGAGACTGTAATAAGATGAGGTGTCCGTAGCAACATTTAGAAGCAATAACAAAAGTTAAAACGATTAATTCCTTTAATTGTGTCATGTTTCAGCTCTGATGACTGGCTTTTTTAAATCCTGATTTCTAACTACAGTGCTCTTCCTGCAGATGGCTGGTTAAACTTCATGAAGCGATGATTAACTTCAGGCAGCTTCTTTCAGACACTTGGAAGAAGCTGTTTTATTCAGCAGGTGCTTAATATTTCCTGGAAATGAAGGCCGTTGAGTTTGCTTCTCGTAGGGCTTGCTGAAGGTGATGAGGAGTTTGCCTGTCACTGGCTGCTTCTGTAGATGATTGTCTTAAACTGTGTTACTGTGGGTTTTCATTGTCCACTACATGGGTTCTGTTTCACTTTGCTGCTCCTGGCTGGAAGCTGACCCTGAATTGGTGGGTCCTGTACCTTACTGCTGGCAGAGCTGAGTATTTATTTCATGGCAGATCATTTAAAAGCCTGCAGCAAGGCAAATCACTGCTGGCAGACCCGAAGAGCTCCTGGTTGCCTTTGACCTCTGCTGCCACCTGGCAATGAGGATGAGAAACTTTTAGCATGTGCTGTGGCTGATTTTTGACTCCTGTGTAGAAATAGCAGCAGTTCCTGGCAAAAGCTCGTGATCTAAAAGCGTGTGCCTCTTGTGGTGGGGACATTAGCTTTGCATAGGGATGAATCTGGGAGTTGGGAATACGGAATGAGGACTGGAGTGTGTGTCTCCATAAGCCTTAGGGCCTTGCTTGTTACTAGCTTGGACTTGTATTCCGTTTCTTATTGAAATGCAGAGTTAAGGAAAATATTTTGGTGTTGGGGGTGCAGGGAAGAAATCTGCACATCACGTCCCTAAAGTATTCCAAGTTGGAGTGTAGTGTTCTGTTTGCCTGGGGAGAGGATGGGCGCCTCTCTCTCGAGTTGGAGCGCCTATTTGCCATTCATGGGTTTCCTTCAGCGTGACGTGACCATAGGAAGGTGACTTAATCTGTCTTGGCTTTGTTTTTTAAAGGAAGGGCTGCCAAAGCCGAGGCAGGGAGGCAGCCTGCAGGCTTCAGGGGAAGCCTTTCTGTCTCTGAGAGCAGCCCCTGGTGTAATTTGGGCAAGGGCTCGTTGGTGCTACTGGAATAGAGATCCAAGTGAAACAGGCCTCTCTCATCAGTCTCAAGTAGGTTGTGTAACTTCGCTCAGCAAGCTGGTTCAGTGCATAGCAGTTACCTTCCTGCTTGTTCTGGAACCTCTGCAGCTCCTTCCTAGTGCAGGTGAATAGAAAGTGCCTTTTCCACTAATATTTGCTGTTCTTCTCTGGGTGCTGCTGCTACTTGCTCTCAGCAAGCCAAGCCTCAGGCACAAACCTTCCGACTGAAACCCACTACTCCTTGCTTTCTGTTTATGTCTAGTTAGTGCAGCTTTTGTTTTGAGGAGCTGCTTCTCAAGCTCTCATTGCTGTGCACAGTACATCTAGGGAGTAGGTCTTGATGCTGTTCTACAGATACCTGCTTGGTGTCGGTGCTGCCTCTTTTCTCGCCGTTCTTACAGTGGTATCAGCGTGTTGTGATTTAAGCCTCGCCAATCTGTCTCCTTGAAAATGCAAGTCTGGTTCTTGTCTCGTGTGCAGAGAATATTGGAAGCCTTTGCTTTCTGCAGTCTCTGCTCCAGAGTGTTGTACATGCCTGTTCTGTGGGAATCGATGTGGGTATCGGGCACTTGGCTTAGCTGGTTGCTTTGAAATTTCTCTGTATAAGCTACCTTGTAGTGGGCACTCCACTACTGCCCATAGCAAGGGCTGCGTGGGCTTCCCTGTGGAGAAGCCAACACAAAATGCTAAGCATTGGGTGTAGTTTCTGTGAAATTGTGCTTTGCCTGTATCGTGGAGGACGCTTTTAGAAGTAATGGGCAGACTGAATGCTTTTAAAAGAGTGGAATCTGGCCTGGAAGGTGTGTTGGGGAGGCAGCCGTTTGGGAGGAGTCCCGGCAACTGTTACTAAGCGGGTTCTTTGTGACGTCCAAGATCATCAGGTCCAGCCCCCACTGGCTTTAGGAGCGGTGTTGATTCCCCAGTCAGAGGTACCTGTGCACAGAGTGCATTAGCCTCCAGCAGAGGACTTCCGCTGCAGTTTAAAGACGGGTGAGAACAGAAAGGCCGTGTGGCCTCTGGGTGGCGCTTGGGTGGCTTGAGGCAGAACATTTGACCTGAGTGCTTCTGGAGAGGACCCCAAAGCTGGCAAAAGAATCCAGCAACAAATTCCCACCGAATTCTGAAAGATAGAGGTGCTGTTGGTGAAGTGCTGCAAAAGCAGTTTCTGAAGCCCGCTTCTGCATCTGAGACGCCTTTCTGGCAAAGCGGTGTCTGTAATAGAGGATTGATTCACAGGGAGACACTCCGTGGCTGAGGAGACCATAAATGATGAAAGGGTTGGAGCAAGAAGATAATAGGGTAGAACATGCTTTAAGGAGCTTGATAGTCAGATAGGGTTAATGTTAACTACTGAGTGTAAGCTGTGATGAGTTGTGTAGCAGGAGTGATGAGCTCAGGGGTGATCAGAGCCTGCTGGGAGGGTGGCTGATGGTCGGTGTTAGTGTATACAGGTGCTCCTCGGTGATTTCCAGAACATCCGTGAAAAGCCTGCTGCAGTTTAACTAGGCTCCAAATTCCTGCATAGATTTATTGTGGTGGTCTGTTTTTTAATTCCAAGTCTCAGATGTTGCTGCTAACTGAAAGTTCCTCCTCAGCAATAAGCCCTGCTGTCTGAGTGGAAGGACATGAGACGTGAGTGTCACAGAGTGAACAAGACTCAAGTTTCCTGTGTAGATCAACATTGGGGATACGCTGGAGATGTTACCGGACTTGTTAAATCCTGTCTGCAGCTGAGCTTTGATTTGGGGTTGAGCAAGACATTTTCGTGACCCTGTTTCTGCTGTTCATGTATTTACTTGCCTGGGCCAGGTTGGCCTTGGAGCAACCTTCTCTAGTGGAAAGCGTCCCTGCCCATGACAAGGGTTTGGAAGTGGATGAGCTTTAAGGTCGAGACAGACGAAGCATAGTCGAGAGACTGACTGGATTGTCTCGTCTTTTTCTACATCTTTATTTTTCTGAAGAGGAGCTCGGTAGCACTGTTTTTTTGCAGTGGGTGGTTCCCACCCCTAGGATTTTCTCTCCTGAAAACAATCTCTCTCTTTGTTGCTTACTGGTGAAGGTCTTGGGGCCCGTTTGGAGAAAAGCCTGTTGTGTGTAAGCGTTGTCAGAGACGTGGGTTCTGCTTTCATTCCTGCCCAGTGAAAATACAAACCGAGTGTCCTTTGCACTCTTTGTTCTGGGGATGTGGGGAACTTCAGCTCTGTGTGCCAGCTGCGGGCTTTCCTGAAGGAAATGGAAAGGCCTCTCAGCCCTGCCTCCTGGAACCTAGATGAGGCTTGCAGATGGAGGAGCATGGCTGGCACATGAGTGCCAGGGGTGTCCAGGCAGGGAAGGGTTCACACACTTTCTGGAGTCAAAAGCCAGAGCAGCAGCTCTCCATGTAGGGAATTTAATGTGGAATAAACTGTTCTGAAGCCAGCCTGCTGCTGGAGAGACTGCAGTGCTGGATGCTGTCCCTGTGGGTAGCAAGGGGGAGGCAGGGGAAGAAAGTGAACCGGGGTTGAGTAGAAAGGGGGGGTAGGTGAAACTGATGACTGTGATGGTGAGAAATGTCCAGAGATCCCTGGTCTTAGGTAAGGCTCTCGTTCTGTGGTCTCTGTAGAGCAGAGATGTGAATTTAAAAAGCAAACGGAAAACAAGCCTGTTCATACTACTAGAGGTACCTCAAGGCATTTATGAAACTTTAGTCTTCCTGTTCCCTCCCCTGTGGCTATTGTAACATGTTTTCTGTTTCTCCTTCTAGGCAGAACTGCTGAGACTTTCTAAAATGCCTTTATGCTTCCGGAGTTTCGTCCCATTTGCCGTACCTGGAGCACTGGCACTTCTTGGGTGCTGGTGGATTTATTCCCATAGGAAAAAGCATGGAACCTATGAAGAGGAACCAGCAGTAGCTGCTGAAGAGCAGCAGGAAGAAGCGACACAGCAGGATTCAGCACCAGGAACAGAACCATGTGTTCCACAAAGACAGCTCTCCTTGCTGGAAGAGGAGGCCACAGAGAACAAAACCTCAACCTCCCTGCTGACAGCGGGGTTGACGATGCCCTCTGTTAGGTGTCACACTGATGAGAGGCTGGATCTCTCACCAGACTTACCAGTGACAACAAATCAGCCCAGCGCCCTTGAGAACGGCAGTGAAACACTAGAAGAAGAGGGATCTCAAGACAAAAAGAGTGTCCCTTGCACATCCACGTGTGAAGGTGGGGCATGTGTGGAGGGCCTGGTGCAGAGCACAGTGCTGGCTGTTGCATCGGGCCAGCATTCAGAGTTACTGAGTTTACCTGCAAGCGGAGACACAAGTGCTGGGCAGAGCTCCGGGCCAAGTGAAACTCAGCCTCCTGTGAGGCTGCCTGAGGACAATGACGTGCCGTACAGCACTGGAGTGCTGCGAGAGGATGGTCCAGAGCCGTGTAAGGAGCGTAGCAAGGCACCAGGAATAGATGGAGGCTGCCCACAAGGTAAGCAGTTTGAAAATCCTCATAGACGCAGACGGTGAACAAGCATTTTACGTGCCGTAACCCTCCTGCATGTGCAGATAAAGCTTCCTGTTTAATTTCTCCAGGCAATGCCTGTTTAGCCCTCAGGTGCAGGTGGGTCTGCATTTGCTCTCAGAATTCGTATCTCTGTAGGATCCAGCGTTAGCTGGGTGATCTTCAGGGTATCCTGCAAAGGGGTGAAGAGGCTGGTCCCTGTTCAGCACAAAGCTTCTTGTCTAAGGCTGAGCATGTTCTCGAGTAGCCCAGTGAAAGGACTGTGTCTGGATGTAGGCCAGGCTGCTGAACACCTTGCTGGTTTGAAACCTGCTCGTCCCAATGGTTTCTGCTTCAGTTCCAGCAGCCTCTAGCAAGTCCTGGGCTCTTCTCTGTGTCTGTGAGCTGCTGCTGTAAGGGGCCATGAGGCAGGTTTCTGAGGTGCTGCTGGATGAGGCAGGGAAGTGCTCTCATGAGCTGGGATCAAATCAGTTGGTTGCAGAGCAATTCCCCTGAAGCCTTTTTACTTGGAAGGGAAGGTGCGGGCCAAGAGATCCCAACAGGGAACGGCGGTCCTGGAGTTTCCCCGTCTGTCTATGTTGCTTTTGCCTTCTAGATCCTGGATGATGTGTGTGTGGCAGAATGCAAAGCTGTCTGAGCAAATGTTAACCTGGGTGACCTTGGGATGGATGTTCAAGTCCTTTAGAAGACCCTGTGGTGCCAACAGCCCTTAATGACAGGGTGCCTTTTGCAATTGCTGCAGAGTACTTGGAAGGCTGCTTGTTGCAAGGCATGGGGACGGAGTTTGCCAACAATTAAGGATTAAAGCCCCAGAACATTTCCTTTAGTGAGAATCACTCTAGGAAGATGGTGGGTTCGCCTTGTTGTGAATGCTGGTGTGGCAAAAGGTACAAATGTGCTGTGGAGCCTGGTGGTGATGAGCTGAGACCTCAGCACCCAGAGAGCTGATGGGCAGGGAGAGGGGACAGAGCAGGGTGCTAATGTGGGATCAGAGGTCACACAGCTGACCCTCACACCCAGGCTTTGAGGCTTCCATCCCCATCCTTGCCTTTCCAGGCATCCGTGCTGGGTTCCTAGTTAAGATGTGGCAAATGTGAAGCAGGTGTTTGGTTTCTTTTTCTCTTTGGTCCTGCACTGGATGGCCTGAATACTGGCAGGCAAGTGAGGGTCTTCACACTTCTGCTGGTTAATCTGAAGGAAGGATCGGCCATGTGTCACACTGCTTGTATGTGGGATGTGAGCAGGAGGAAGACGTTCGGGTTTGTTCCCCTCCCAAGTAGACACGTTCCTGGTATCAGCTGATGGTTTGGGAAGAAGCTGTAGCTTGGCTCTGGCACCTTGCTGCTTCAGGCCTAGGACAGATTTGGGCAAGAGGCAATCCCCTACCCCCACTAGCAGTGGACCACCCCTGGCACTCAGGTCCCTGTGCACCATCTGCTGTCAGCACAAAGAGCAGATGAAGAGGTTGCACGTCCCTCCTTGCCCGCTCAACTCCCTGTGAAGAGCCTTCCATTCCCCGTGGGTAGAATGCAGAATTCCTTGGGCAGCAGCAGGCTCTCCTTCAGCTTTCGGTAACTTTGGCTTCTGGTGTCTGTGTCAGCCGCTGCGTAAGAGGTGCCTGTGTTTGAAGGCTGATGGCTCAAGGCGGGCTGCTTCCTGTGGCATTCCCAGAGCTGTGCAGGCTTTTCTCCAGGAAGAAAAGGAACCTTTCAGTAGGCTGCATGTGATGGGAACCCTTTCTGACACACTGGAGAACCCGATACAGGAGCACCCTGAGCCAAGGCGTGAGAACAGCTCTATGTAACCTCTCTATGAACTGATGTCTTTTCATGGCCTTGTGCCTGGGAGCTGGGCTGGACTGAGGGGTCTGTCTGCATGCTGACATGTGTGCGTGTCTTGCAGGATTGGATGGACATGGTACGGGTTTTGTGAACAGTGGCTGTGCCATGAAGAAGGCAGTGACTCAGCAGAACACTGAGACAGGGGGAGAAACCAGCAAGTGCGACCACGTCATCTGGGAAATAGAAGTCCCAGAGGTAAGCATCTGCTGGGCTGCTCCTGCATCCTGCCCTGCCCTACACAGCCATCTCCTGGCTCTTCCTGTCCTGCACTGGCTTGGTGCCTCCCCAGGGACGTCAACAACAGAGGAGGGTTGAAGTGATTCGCTCCCATTAGGACTCAGCAGGAGGGAAGAGCCAGGACAAACTGTAACCATGAGGCTGTGGCACTCATTAGTCCTTGTGATCTTCCACCCCAATCTGTTGGTCTGATGCTTTGAAAGCATTCAGAAGGTTTTGAGGGTACACGGTTCTTAAGAGCAGGTGATGAAATAAGCTGCAGAGAACAGCGCTGTTTGATCAGTATTTCTCTTGCTGACTGTTGCTTTCTTGTCCCCTTCATAAAGAAATCAGTTGGCCGCTTGATCGGCTGGCGAGGAAAGTTTGTGAGCTTCCTGAGGCAGAAGTCTGGTGCCAAAATCTATGTCAGGAGAAAGCCGTATTTGCGTGACTCCCAGGTCTGTTACATTGAAGGTAAGTGGAAAGTCTCTTCATTCCTTGTCTAGTATGTACCTTGGGGGCCTTAATTAGATGGGCAAGGAGTTTAAACAGGGTTAGTGCCTCTTAGTCCTGTGCTTTACAAAGCTTTCTGTTCAGTGCTCTTATGGTAGAAGTCTGTGCCAGGTCAGCTGTGCCTTGGCATGTGAGCCCTGTTCTAGAGGTGAGAATGTGTTTTAATGTCTTCATCTGCTCTAGTTTAGCCAACACCGTTTGTAGGATCACTTTGGGCCTCCAGGAGGAGCTATGGGATGTGTATCAGCTCGTGCTGGTTTCATACCAGGTTCCATGGCCAATGTGCTGAAACTGAAGTTGTTGCTGTAGTGCAGAAGGCTTTTGGTAGCTCTGTTGATTCACGTGGCAAGGCTGGGGTTGTCCTCACCAAATCTGTGCTACAGACCTTCTGTGGAACTTGTGTCTTCCAGGTTTCCCGCATCGAGTAGAAAAAGCACTGAGTCTGATTGGCAGGAAGTTCAAGGAGCTGTGTCTCACCAACATCCACAATCTACCTCCACCAGCACCACTGACACTTCGTCGCCTCCTCATGAATGCCTGGGTGAGTCCCAGCTTGCTGGCTGTGCTGATGTCAGGGTGGAAGGCTGTTGCTGGTCACTGCCATTGTAGGACGCTGTATCCATGTGGCTGGCTCACAGATGCCCTCAAACCCAGTTTGATTTTGTGTGGCTGGTTGTTGTCCAGCTGATTTAACTGGGTTGTGTGGCTGGTTGTTGTCCAGCCTCAGGAGGTGCTGGTGGAACCGGGAGCTGCTGTGAATGGCGCTTGAGTTGCAGTGAACACTAATGAGAGCTTCTTTCCTCCACGCGACAGCTCTTCCTTCCGGATGGAGTCACAGTGGAGGTGGTTGTGGCGCACCAAGTCGATGCAGGGCACATGTTCCTGCAGCAGCACACTCACCCCACTTTCCATGTCCTGAGGAGCCTTGAACAGCAGATGTCTGTCTGCTACTCTGAACCCAAAATTCCAGCCCTGCCAACTCCAGTAGAAGGCAAGTAACTTGGCTGCTCACAAACTGTTCACTTGAGAAACTTCAAGGGTCAGGTGAAATCCTGCTGCCCTGCGTTAGGCTTGGGAGGCTTCCCAGTGCGTGAGAATGTGATCGTTCCTTTGGTATTCCATTTCTTTTGATTTGGGCCTTTTTTAATAGATAAAGCACAAGGTGTTGCTCTGTTCTTCCTTACCCCACTCATCCCTGAATACCTCTCCAGCCACTTAGTTGCACACTGAAATTCAGAAGGAGAGCAGTCAGTCTTGGGTTATTTCTTATCTACCTGGCACCTGGTCTATTTTTGCTGACAAAGTGTGGAGCTACTCCCACATCTTCACAGTGTCACTGTCTGTACGTGGTCTGAAGTGGAGGGTGCATCCCATGGAAAGGAGTTACTAGTCATAACTAATGCCTGAAGCGCTGATTTCTGGAAATCCACTGAGCTTTCTTCTCTCTACCCTTACGTTCTGCAGCTGGTATTATCTGCGCAGCTCCAGGCCTGGATGGGGCATGGCTACGGGCTCAAGTTATCAGCTACTTTGCAGAGACCAGTGAAGTGGAACTCAGATATGTGGACTACGGAGGATATGACAAAGTGAAGGTGGACACACTCAGATACATCAGGTGTCTAGCTCCTCTTCCATGGCCTGAGGCCGTATCTGGCTTGAATCTTCATCAGAGGCATCTGTATTGTTTGAATTACTTGTAGGTTTTTCCACAGCTGAAGTGGGAATTGGTAGAAAGGTTTGTCTGGGCAGCAGGGGTGGGCTCCCTGGCAGCACAGCAGGCTCTTGCAAGGCTTTACTGAAGGGGAGGGAAGAAGAAATTGTGACTTGTGTCAGTTCAGCGTGGCAGCTGAGCAAAAGGATGCCTTTGGGAGGCCCCAGGGTGTAGTTAGCTGCTGAGCTAGGAATAAGATTAGGATTCTCTATGCTCCAGCCCCGCTGTCTGGAAGTGCTGTATTGGAAGAGGGTTTTCTTACACAAGCCCATTCAATACTTGATTGTGCCCAGAGGTGGGAGGAAAGCAGTCCAGGCTCCATGCTGGAGGTGTCTTTTGCTTGGAGCCCAGTCCAACCCGGCATACTCATCAGACAATGGATTGCTGCTGCTTAGGGTGCTGGGAGGTTGTTTTTGACTGTCGTCAATTTTAAACTAAATCCCTGTTACAGTAATTGATTAATCAATGTCACCTGAAAGAACACAGCAGTGACTTCAAGCCCTGTTCTTATTCTGATGGATTCTCTTTTCTTTAAGGTCTGACTTTTTATCGCTGCCTTTCCAAGCAGCAGAAGTTTTACTGGACAATGTGGTGCCTCTTCCAGGTAATGGAGCTCCTGACAAGTACTATTGGCGGTCCTCCTGCAGTGTCAGTGGGTGCCAGCAGTGGGCAAGCAGAGAAGGGATTGTGCCTGAAGCTTCCCTCTCCTATTGCAAGCAGAGCCTCTGGTGTGACTAGAGCAAGGACTGGAAAGAATGAATTTTATCCTTCTAAATGTGCTAGCATGGCAGAACCTGTCAGACTCCAGGGGAAAGAGGATAAATGTCCAGGCTTTTTCCTGCTTGGAGGAGAGAGCAAATTACTCTCCTAAAGAGCAAGTTGGCAGGGCTGGCAGTGTATTGAGTGAAGTAGCTGTAACTACTCTGCCACCTTCTGTCATCAAGTAGCTGTAAATGCGAACTTAGTTTTAATGTGTTAAACCAATATCTGATACTTTCCTACTGAAGTGACTGACGTGTATGGTTCTGTGTTCAAAATGCTACCGTTCAAGCCCTGGCAGAGTGCCGTGGTGGTAGAGATGCCTGATGGCTGGGGGCCTAAAAAGCTGCCTTGTACGGAAGGGGCTCCTGTAGGAGCTGGGGGTCAGGTGGGTCAGTAGTGTCTTCAGGGTCAGTGAAGTCCTGAGGCCCTTGAGCTTAGTTCATTAAGGATCAAAATCCTAACGACAGCTCAAAGGTCCTGCAGATATGCACTTTTCTGTCTTTAAAGCCTCCTAATTCATCAGCTGCTTAAATTCATACCAACTTAGCTAGTGGCTTTAGAAAGTGCTTCATTCTTCCCTTCAGCAACACAGCAGGCATAATGCTTGTGTGATCTCCAGCTTAATAGACTGGTTTCAGCAACAGTGGGTGAGGATTCAGTGGCGTAATGGTCAGGCAAGATGAGCTTAATAGTCCCTTCTGGCCTTTAAAGCCTGTGACCCTCCTTTGTTTTCTCCTGCTCTTCCCCAAGATGAGGATCGCTTCTCCCCTGAAGCTGACGCGGCTGTTGGCGAGATGACCAGAGGCGCGGTCCTTGTGGCGCAGGTACGTGGAGCTGTTGGGGAAAGTCCTGCTGCTGATGGTGCTGCTGCTGCTGCGACTCTGGGCACCCTGCATCCTGCGTGTGTGTGAGCACAGACAGCAAAGCCAGAGCCTGCAAGTCTGGCTGCTGGGCAGGGGCTTGCTGAGAAATCGTGGTGCTGAGAACTTCCTGGTGTAGCATCAGGTACCGCTGAGGGCTGTGTGGCTGGGAAGGGATGAGTGTTCTCTCTTGTGAGTGATGTGGGCAGAAAGCCAGGGGAGGGATTTGAGTGATGAAAGCGAACTTGGCCAAGGGTGTTCCAGCTGCTGCCTGGTGGCAGGAGCTGCATTTCCTCCAGCCTACACATAGGAAGGGGTATCTGACAGGGAGGGAATGATGCTGGCCTTGCATCCTTCGTGGCTCCACCACAACTGCTGCCCACTCTGGTTTTTCTGTGTTTCCAGGTAGCAAATTATGACAGTGCAACAGGACTGCCACTGATACAGCTGTGGAACATGATGGGCGATGAGGTGCGTGTGTTGACATACCTCTTCTGTTGGAGTTGATGCCGATGCAGGCTTTCTACTGTTGATTAGGAACTTGCTGATTGTTTTTTTTCTAATGGCTTGTTCACCTTTCTACTTTTTGTTTTCTTTTTTCACCTCCCTTTAGGTGGTGTCCGTAAACAGAACTCTGGTGGAAAGAGGCCTTGCTCGGTGGCTTGACTACTAGCAATGTCCTACCATTTCCCTACAAACACATACCTCATCTCGGTGAAAGGCAGGGTTATTAAAAGCCATAATGACAAATACTGTAGCTTGAAAGCAAAAATCGTCTGGCCTCTGTTCAAAAGCTGAATGGGAAAAACCTTCAAACCTTACGGCTCGTTCGAAGGTAGCAAATGCCCCTTAAGCTGTGGTCAGTCCACCTGTGTAATACCCATGAACTTAGTGTCTGCTTTTCCTTCCAAGTTACATTGGTTGTCCTTTTTTAACAGGCTCTGCCTATGAAATTAACAAATGTGATTAAGGAATTTAAGGTTCAGTTATGGATTTCTCTATATTGTGCCACTAGCCTGCATAAACAATATTCATCTTGTGTCTTCCTTATGCCAGGAGGGAGATGAACTGCAGTCGTTGCACTTAACAGTGGCACATGTCTCCCTGCAATCATGGTTTTTAGGGTGTTTTGGGGGTGGTTTTGGGCTTTCACCCTGTATCCCATAGGAGAAGCAGGACAGGGGCGTTTTGGGATGTTTTGGGGCTGTTTAGGGGCTCTGACCCTGTATCCCATAGGAGAAGCAGGAGAAGCTGCTTTGGGGGTGTTTGAGTATTGTTTTGGTGGTGGGTTTTGGGTGGTTTTGTTGTAGTTTTGGGCTCTGACCCTGTATCCCATAGGAGAAGCAGGACAAGGACGTTTTGGGGTGGTTTTGCAGGTTTTTGGGGTGCTTTTGGGCTGTTTATGGGGTGTTTTGGGATTCTGACCCTGTATCCCATAGGAGAAGCATGAGAAAGTGGTTTTGGGATGTTTTGGGGGTGTTTTGCATGTTTTGTGCTGTTTTGGGTCCATTTTGGGGCTGTTTTGCGGCACTGACCCTGTATTCCATAGAAGAATCAGAACAAGGTGGTTTTGGGGTGGTTTAGGGTGTTTTTGGGGTGTTTTGGGGGCTCTCACCCTTTATGCCATGGTAGAAGCAGGACAAGATGACTTTGGGGTATTTTGGGGTTGTTTTGGGGTGTTTTGGATCTCTGACCCTGTATCCCATAGGAGAAGCAGGACAAGGTGGTTTTCGGGTGATTAGGGGTGTTTTGGGTGTGGTGTTGAGTGGTTTTGAGCTGTTTTGGTTCTGTTTTGGGACTCTGCCTCTGTATCCCATAGGAGAAGCAGGACAAGGTGGCTTTGGGCTGTTTTTGGCCTGTTTTGGGGTTCTGACCCTGTATCCATATGAGAGGCTGGATAAGATGGTTTTGGGGTGCTTTGCTGCTTTTTGGGTGTGTTTTGGGATATTTTGGCACTCTGACCCTGTATCACATAGAAGCAGGTGAAGGTGGTTTTCGTGTGTTTTTTCTGGTGGTCTTGTTTTTTTTTGTGTGGTTTTGGGGTGTTCTAGGGTGTTTTTGTACTCTGACCCTGTGTGCCATAGGAGAAGACAGACCAGGTGGTTTTGGGGTGTTTGGGATTTTTTTGGTTTTGTTTTTTTTTTGGTGGTTTTTAGGGTGATTTGGGGCTGTTTTGATGCTGGTTTTGGGCGCTGACCCTGTAACCCATAGGAGAAGGAGGAGAAGGTGGGTTTGGTTGTTTTTGGTGGTTTTAAGGTGGTTTTGGGGCCCTGCCCCTTTATACCACAGAAGAAGGAGGGCACGGTCGTAATGGGGTGTGTTTCTTAGGTGGTTTTGGGGTGATTTTGGGCTCTTTTGGGTCTGCTTTGGGTCTCTCTTGGCGCTCTGAGCCTGTCTCATATAGGACAAGCAGGACAAGTTGGTTTTGGGGAGTTTTGGTCTCTGACCATGTATTCCATAGGAGAAGCAGGTCAAGGTGGTTTTGCAGTGGTTTAGAGTGTTTTGAGGATATTGTAACGTGGTTTTCGGCTGGTTTTGGCTTGGTTTGGGGCTGGTTTTGGGCTGTGACCCTGCATTCCATGGGAGAAGCAGGACAAGGTGTTTTGGGGGTGTTTTACGGTGTTTTGGGCGTGTTTTATGGTGTTTTATGGTGTTTTGGGGGTCTTTTTGGAGTGTTTTTGGGCTCTGACTGTGTATCCCATATGAGAAGCAGGACAAGGTGGTTGTGGGGTGTTTTTGGGGTGGTTTTAGGACTGTTTTGGGTCTCTGACCCTTTATACCATAGGAGAAGCAGGGCAAGGTGGTTTTGGGGTGGGTTTGGGGTGGATTAGGGTGTTTTAGGAGTGATTTGGGGGGTTTGGGGCTGTTTTGTGTCTGTTTGGGGGCTCTGACCGTGCATCCCATAGGAGAAGCAGGACAAGGTGGTTTTGAGGTGGTTTACGGTGTTTTGGGGATGTTTTAGCTTCTTTTGGGGCTGTTTTGGGGTTGGGTTGGGGCTGGTTTTGGGCTCTGACCTTTTATTCCATAGGAGAAGCAGGAGAAAGTGGTTTTGTGGTGTTTGAGGGTGTTTTTGGTCTGTTTATGGGGTGGTCTTTGTCCCTGGCCCTGTATCCCAAAGGAGAAGCAGGAGAAGGTGTGTTTGGGGTGGTTTCAGGCAGTTTTGGCATAATGTTGCCATAATGACAAATACTGTAGCTTGAAAGCAAAAATCGTCTGGCCTCTGTTCAAAAGCTGAATGGGAAAAACCTTCAAACCTTACGGCTCGTTCGAAGGTAGCAAATGCCCCTTAAGCTGTGGTCGTTCCACCTGTGTAATACCCAGGAACTTAGTGTCTGCTTTTCCTTCCAAGTTACATTGGTTGTCCTTTTTTAACAGGCTCTGCCTATGAAATTAACAAATGTGATTAAGGAATTTAAGGTTCAGTTATGGATTTCTCTATATTGTGCCACTAGCCTGCATAAACAATATTCATCTTGTGTCTTCCTTATGCCAGGAGGGAGATGAACTGCAGTCGTTGCACTTAACAGTGGCACACGTCTCCCTGCAATCATGGTTTTTAGGCTTGATACGCTTAAGGAAGAAAGCTGCTCTGTGCAGATGCTTGAAGGCAGGATGTGTTACCACTACAATTTTTGCTCTGAAATGATGTGTATTTAAAGAAAAGAACCGATTGCCAAGCCCAGTTATAGTTTCTATTTTTCTAGCTGTGCAAGTCTGTAAATATATATAAAAACCCAACACTAATATTTTGTACAAGAAAAACACTGGAAACAAAGGTAGCTTTACAGAAACTTCTTCACACCAAAATGTCCTCTGTAGGTAGAACTGGTTTGGAGTGCATTAGGGTAGCCAACATTGGAGCATCAGAATGTTGGGAGTGTTTCAGCTCTGCTGTAGACACGATCAGCCGTTCTGATATGATATGGTTATACCTCATTCTTTCGAGTTCTCCTGTTCAGTGCTTATGATTTAACGTTCATGTTTGCAGTAACATCCAGTGAAAACTCAATTTGGTAACTAAGTGAAATCTATACAACCGTATTTCTGTGCACTTAATGTAACCCAAAGAGGGGAGAATGAAGCATGGATACCAAAATGGGGATGGGGAAGGACACTGGCTACACAGACACTGTGCTCTGTGCTTTTCACTTCAGCAGGTACAGCCAAGCTGCAGTGATCAACAGGACATGTGCATCTCTTCAGTGGTGGAAACAATGCCCCTGACTTGCCCCAGCGCCACCTAAAATGCCTCTTGAATTTGACTTTTTTTGTTCGCTGTTCAGTGGTCAGAGTTGCCAACTTGTAACGGCCTCTCTGCTTCTTTAATCCAGAGAGCAGGAATCCCAACTCACCCTGAGGAAAAGGGAGTGGGGGTAGAAAGAAAAAAGGTTTAGGAAGAAGGTGGGCTTTGGGTGGGCTTTTAATCCCTAGATCCCACCTCCTTTCTAGGAGATCTGTGGTGTTAATGAGGAAGAAGAGTTTCAAAGTGGGGATTTCTCGGCAGAAATGCAGAGGGATGCTCCAGCTAAATGAAAATGTCTGATAAATTCTGCACCTCAAGAGCTGAGACTTTGTGTGCGTAGGGAGGACCTGTGAGGATGTTTGGTTCTACTAACCAGGCAAAGCACTTGATGCTGTTGTGATCTCCCAAATTCTTTGCTAAGGGTTTGTCATCTCTGTGGGAGGGAGTGGAATAACGACCCTTTCCTGCACTTTGATATCACACAGTATCACAGTATGTTAGAGATTGGAAGGGACCTCAAAAGATCATCTAGTCCAGTCCCCCTGCCGGAGCAGGAACACCTAGATAAGGTTACACAGGAACGTGTCCAGGAGGGTTTTGAATGTCTCCAAAGAAGGAGATTCCACAACCTCCCTGGGCAGCCTGTTCCAGTGTTCCGTCACCCTCACTGAGAAGAAGTTTCTTCTCAGGTTTAAGTGGAACCTCTTGTGCTCCAGTTTGTACCCATTACCCCTTGTCCTTTCATTGTTTGCCACTGAGAAGAGCCTGGCTCCATCCTCGTGACACTCCCCCTTTATATATTTATATACACTAATAAGGTCACCCCTCAATCTCCTCTTCTCCAAACTATAGAGACCCAGCTCCCTCAGTCTTTCCTCATAAGGGAGATGCTCCACTCCCTTAACCATCTTAGTTGCCCTGCGCTGGACTCTCTCCAGCAGGTCCCTGTCCTTCTTAAACTGAGGGGCCCAGAACTGGACACAATATTCCAGATGAGGTCTCACCAGGGCTGAGTAGAGGGGAAGGAGGACCTTTGGTTTTGTAAATCCCAATAGTGCAAGCAAAGCTAGCATCATCTGAAGACCCTGTACTTCCTTGGACTCTGCTTCTTTTCCATACTGGGAACAACCAAGATGGCTTTGGGAAGAGAAGGCACCTTGCTTCAGGTTCCCCCCCGCCTTGCACCATGCAATCACTCGGGAGAGTGCCCACTGGGCTGGCAGAAGAAACTGGGTTTGCTCCTGTCTTGCACGTGTTGGAATGACTGCATGCCACGGGGAAGCCAGAAACTAGGTACTCCTGGCCCTTCCGTTCAGGCCGTTAGTCCAAACTGCTTTTAGCTCTCGTGAGTTCAGCATCTCAATGTGCTGGCCAAAAACCTCTCAGATCAGTTCCGTGACACTGTGACAAACAAAATGTGCTGGAGAACTCAATGCAGTCGAAATAAAAGCTCTCTATTAGTGCTGCTGTGTTTGGGACCCATTCTTTTGTTTGTGCTGAATTCTTCCCATGGTGCTCCCCAGGCTGCTGGTACTT